GCTGGCTGGGCCTCGCTGGTGGGTGGCAGGTAGCGGGTGGCGGCTGGCTGGCGGGCGCTGGCAGGTGGCAGCTGGCGTCGGGTGGTGGCGCCTGGCGTTGGGTGGTGGTGGTAGGAGGGCAGGAGAGACGGGCGGGCGGGCGGATGGATTTGCAAAGGGCCAGGTGGCAGGCCCAACACGCGCGCGCAAGCAGGCCCCTGAGCTGACGTAAGCAGAAAGGGCCATATTCTGCGCAAGGTAGGGTCGGCCTAGGGCCGTAAGCAAAAATGCCGTAGCTGCCCCCCAGAAAATGGCCGTAGGTGGTCCTACGGCCCCAGAAGGGCGCAGGAGATCACCAATTTCCAGCCGTAGGGCTGCCTGCGGCTATTTCAGTGTAGATGGTCCCCGATTCCCCAATTTTAGGCCGTAGGCCAGCCTACAGCCAAAACCCACCTGCCCTTTGACGCTAGCTATGATTGGCTACGCCTACCTACAATCGAAAAAAATGTAGGTTGACCCCGCTGCTAGCTATGATGAGGGCTGCTGCAAGCTGCTGATGCAGAGCTGCTATACCCGGTGTTAATTTTTTGGCCGCTGTTGATCAAGCATGTTCAAAGATTGTTGTAATGGACGGGGCTTCAGCTAGAAATCTTGGCACACGGAACAGACAGGATGGACAGGGATGCCCGGGAAGCAGCAATTTACCATACCGCGACTCGTTCCGGTAAAGACAGTAGTAAGGGGCAGACATGAGACACTCTCGGCACGGTGACCCTTCCTACGACATGAGTGAGACACGGCCGAAAAAAAAATTGTTCAGAAACGGGAGGAGCAGGCGAGGCCGACTTGTGCTAGACACGACAGGCGTCGACGATGGCCCCGCCGAGCAGGACGGCCTTGGGCCTTTGCATCATGTCGAAGTGGTTCGCCTCGATGGTGACGGCGCGGATGTCGGGGATCAGCTCTTCCCAGCCGCCGGTGCCAAGCGAGGCGCGAGACTCGAGGAGCCAGTCGACGGTGGTGCAATGCTCCTTGACGCCCTCGACCTTGCCAAGGCCCTGGATGGCCGAGATGATGACGGCCTTAGGTGGCGGCTTGCCGCCCTCTGCGGCCGCGTACCGTGCGGGCTTGTATTCGGCGAGACCGTCGACGGTCTGCCGGAAGTGCTCGACCATATCTGGGGACAGCTGCGGCGGCGTGATGCCCTTGAAGACGTCCGACTTGAAGAGCCAGTCGGTTACGGAGATGGGCAGCGGCGGGTAGCGCGTCGGGCTGGGGCTGTCGAACATGATGAGGTGCGTGACGCGGTCGTTGGGGTCGGCCGACACGCTCAGCAGCCGGCTCATCTCGTAGCTGATGATGCCGCCGAAAGACCAGCCACCGAGGATGTAGGGGCCCTTGGGCTGCACGAGCTTGATGCTGTCGAGGTAGTATCTGGCCAGCTGGTCCATACCGCCGGTCCAGGCGAGAGAATTCCTGTAGAACGGGCTGTTGAGGCCCCACACCTTGCGACCGAGCATCGGCAGCGTCGTGTACACTGCCGCGCTGCCGGATCCGTCGGGTGCAAGGAACATAGCTCCGATGTCGTCGGGACCCGGCTGCAGCAATGTCGGTTTCTTGACCGCCACCGGGTTGGCAATCGGTGCGGGCGCCGGCTGCGGCGCCTCGCTATATGGGGCTGTCTCGGATGCGGCTGCCATTGTCGGCCCGAAGTCCTCCTCCTCGAGCTTGCTATAGAGACCAGACAGCTCCCTGAGCGAGTCGTTTTCGAGGAACGCGTTGGATGGAATTTTGAAGGGAAGGCGCTCCTGCAGCGTGCCAATGACGACGAGCGACATGAGCGAGTCGAGGCCGAGCGATGAGAGCTCGACATCCATCGACAGCTCGGCGCGGTCGACCCCCAGCTCGCACGACAGCACCTCGATCGTGTCTTCAAGGGCCTGCCTGGCTCGGCCTCCGCCGCTCGTGACCCCGGTCGATGCTGCGTCAGGCTTGAGGGTCATGTCGGCCTGATCGGACGCGCAATCACCGCTGACCGACGTGGCGCAGCTCATCTCGCTGTCCGAGGCGTTGGAGAATTTCACCAGCGAGGTCGTGCTCGAATTGGTGAGCGACGACGAGATCGATGCGACCGAGGCGCGAGAGATCCCGCCGTGCGCGGTAGAGGTCGGCGTTGACGGTGCCACCGAATGCAGCCAGCCCTCGAGTTGGGCAGGCGTGTCGTGGTCCAGGAAGAGGGTGTTCGGCAGGTCGATCTCGGTGGGCAGCACGTTCCGCAGACTGCCGATGATGACCATCGACATCAACGAGTCGAGGCCCATGTCGGCGAGGCTGGTGTCGCTCTCGAGCTCGGCCAAGCCCACGCCGAGTTCGCCGGCGATCGTATCGAGGATCGACGACCAGAGTCTCGACGTCGCAGCCACCGGATCGGGGCCGACGGCAATCTGCTGCGGCCGCGGCTGAGGCCGCTGCAGGCCCTGCGCTGCCGCCTTGCAATTAAAGGAGATGTCCGTCGGGCTGACGGGCGTCGGGGCGAGTACATTCGCTCTTGGCGACTGCGCCGGCGCTGGGGTGGCAGCCTTGGCCTTGGAGGCGTGCGGTAGCATGATCTGCAGCACCCGGAGCGGCACGCGGCGGAACCTGACGCCGTTCATGCAGGCGAGGATCTCGGTGGCGCCTGAGTCGAGCACCAGCATGTTGCCCGCCATGAAGTCGTCGACCGGGCTCATCTTGCAGTAGGTGCGAAAGGTGTAGCCGGGTGTGACGGCCGCCTGGCGGAACTTTGCCGTGAAGCGCATCGACTCGATCGAGTTGGCGATAAAGACGCTTCCCTTCTGCTCGGCGGCGACGTTGCTGATGAAGCCGGTGATCTGGCCGAGCGAGTCCATGAGGCAGGGGTTGACGATGAAGCCATCTCTGGGCGCGGTCGAATCTTGGAAGGCCAGCGTCGTCGCCTCAAAGGTGTCGTGCTTGAGATGCACCGTCCTCATGCCCTGGTACGCCTTCGAGTAGCTGACGACCACCTCGAACACGCGGTACGCCGTTCGCGTCCCCAGCGCGCTCGAGGCGTCCTTGATCGAGTCGATACGATCCTGCACGAGGTACTCGACCTTCTTCCAGCTGTTGCGCCAATCCGACTCGGAAGCGCGGTGCAGCGAGCAGCCCAGGTGGTCGGTCAGCTTGCCGTTGCCTTGTCGCGACTTGAACGTGATCGACAGACCCTCTGGCCGGTGCAAGCATCCCTTGGCCTCGACGACGATGCTGAGTTCGCGGTAGGTCTCGGGATCGTCGTTGATGATCGATAGCGAGTTGAAGATGGTGAGGTTGCGAACATCGTATGCATGGTTGTCAGACAAAGCGTCGCCCGTGCGCCAGTCGAGATCGTGCCCGACCTCGAGCGCCATCTCCGCCCACATTGTTGCCGGTACAAGGCCACGGCCGTGGACGAGGTGACCGCGTACAAGGGCTGTGGCCGGAGCCGAGTCGATCGGCGTTTCGTAGGCCACTTCGACGGAAGCGTGCTCCTGGTCAAAGACGAAGCTGGTGCACGAAGCCAGCAGGGGGAGCCGGGGAGCCTTGGGGCCATCGGCGACGGACTGGACCTCGTCCTCTTCCTCATCATCTTCGGCAGTCTCGCCGTCCTCTACCTTCAGCACCACAGCGGTCTGGATGAGGTTGCGGTCCTGGTAAGCGATCCAGTAAGGACTCGAGTCGAAGGCGTACGGAGGCGTGCGAACCAGCTTGCTCTGGTCGATCCAGTCCGAGTGCAGCTTGATGAAGGAAAGGGGGGCCCCTCGTCGGTAGAGGTCGAGCAGATCGTCGTATAGGGTCTTCCAAGTGCGATCGGCCTCAAGTTGAGTAAAAGTTGATATCTGAACCCACTCGGCATTCTCCATGCGAGCGCCTGTCGAGCTCGGCGCTGGCTTGACGAGCTCGTCTATGACCTTGTCCCAAACACAGGATAGCTCAGCATCGGCGGGCAGTGTAACGGTGCCCGACAAGTGGATCGGCACGCCTATAACTCCGCGGGATGGCGGTGGCGCGATATTGCCCCGCTTCTTGGAGGCGAGGACCACCAGAGCCTGTGTCAGGCCCAAAGATCCCGATATCACCAGGGCAGCCATGATGCCCGTGCCACTGGCGGCCAGAAGCGTTGGCACCAGGCCGCATCGTGTCATTTCTGCGGCGATGGCGACCTGTGCGATGAACGCATCGAGACCGTCTGCGGCGGATATGCCGAGCGCCTTTTGGACTGCAGCGATATCGGACATGGCGCTGCCGAGCGTCGGCCACGCCTCTATCAGCTGCTCGAAGCCGGGAGACGGAGCGATCGCGTCAAAGGCAAACTCTAGAGCCGGCGTCGCCTTGACCTGCTCAAAGACCTGGGCCGCCCTGAGCTTGGCAACGACTTCTTCCACGCTGGACGCAGAAAAGCAGATGCGGAAGGGGTGGGCGATCCTTCGGACGGTCATAGTCATGCTGAGGTCGGAAAGTGAGACTTCGCTGCCTTGATGCGCCAGCCAGTCGATAAATCGTTCCCTGGTCTGCTCCAGGCCCCTGGCCGTCTTGCCGGTGAGCACGAATGGGAAGGACACGCGCTCATCGGCAAAGTCAGCCGCGGGCAGAGGGATCGACGGCGCCCGCTTGACGAGGATCGCAGTGTTCTGCCTCTGAAGCGAGCGGTTGCTAACGAGGATGGCGGCATTGGCCTCTGTACTGAGAGCCGGAAGCTCTGTCCCACGGTCAGAGATGTGCAGACTGCCTCGCTCGATCCACTGTGTGACTTCAGGCATCAGCTCCGTCGGAGTCGCGGTAATTGTCGGCGGCACCTGGCCATGTTGCAGCATGAGGATCGACTTGATGACCGAGGCGACGCCGGAGGCGGCCTCGCAAGCGCCGACGTTGGGGCGGACCGAGCCAACAGAGATGGTGTTCCCGCACCCGAAGCTGGCCACAATGGCTTCCAGCTCGGCTCGTTCGCCGCCGACAGTGTGGTGCCCGCTAGCCTCGACGTGGACGACGTCGTCGGAGCGGACACCCGCTTTCCTGCAGGTCTGCTGGAAGAGTTCGCCGAGCGCGGCTTCGTCGGTCAACGACGCCGAAAACGAGGTCCCCACCTCGGCGATCGTGGCGAGGATGTTGTCGCCCTCCGCCACTGCGTCCGAGAGGCGCTTGAGCAGCAGGACGCCGACGCCGTCGCCACGGACCGCGCCGTCGTTTCCGGAACAGAAGGTGCGGTTTTGAGCCCCGTGTGACAGGAGCCCGTCCTTGTCCATCCCAATGAACATCTGCGGCTGTGTGATGAACGTTACCCCTCCCGCCAAGGCGCTGTCGCACTGGTGAGCGCGCAGGGCGTTGACAGCGTGCTCGATGGCGACGCTCGACGAAGAGTCGCCGGTGTCGATCGAGTTTGAGGGGCCCTCCCACGTATTGTTGTAGCTGATGGCACCGGGCACGAACGCCCGGATGTTGCCCGTGATAAAGTAAGAGCCGATGTTGGAGCTGGCATTCTCTCGGTAGTCGTCCGAAGAGGCGCCGAGGAAGCAGCCGATGCGCTTGGTGTCGAAGGTAGGGCAGACGTTTGGAACGTATCCGGCTTGCTCCAAGGCCTCGTAGCATGCCATCGCCATCATGCGGTGACCGGGGTCCTTCTGCTCCGCCTCCTTGGGGCTGATGTTGAAGAGCCGACAGTCGAACAGCTCTGGATCCTGGATGGCGCCCATGTGGCGGACCTGGGTCTGGTTGCTGCCCGTGCCAAAGTACTGGTCGATGTCGAAGCGGAACCTGGGGATCTGGCCGATGGCGCTACGACCGGTGCTGAGCAAGTCCCAGTATTTTTCCGGCGAGTCAACGCCGCCCGGAAAGCGGCAGGCCATGGAGACCACAACGATCTCTTCGCCGTCCTGGGGCGAGATCGTGCGACTCGGATTGTTGCCGATAGCGTGGGGGCTGGCAAGGTCGATCAGGGCAAGGTCTCGTCTTTGAGCGGCCTTCCGCGCCTGGCTCCAGATGTCTCGTGCCAGGGCGGTGGAGAAAGCAGCGCCGACCACGGCGACCGCGTCGTCGTCGCTGCCTCCCACGGCGTGCGCGATGGCGGCCTTGGACACCAGGTCCCACCTGCAGACGTCGATCAACATGATGTCAAGCGCCTGATCGAGGATTGACCCCTTGACTTCGCACGCCGCGATGGGCGCACCGTCCTTGCTCGAGAGCACCGGGTACTGCGGCGCTTCCAGCAGATCGAAGCGTATCTGCCGACTTTGCATGTCCCCCTTGACGGCGATCTTTATTTGAAGCCCACGCGCGGCGGAGTGGTAGCTCGAGTAGATGTGGAAGGGCGTGAATGAGAGGCTGTCCTGCGGTGACGCTTGGCCCTGGCAGTGCTTGACAAACTCATCCAAGTACTCGGGAGGGCCGGAAACCGTCACGTTGCTGGCGCCCGTCACCGCGCTGACGTCGAGCTTCGACATGGCGTCGAGGCCGTGAAGCTGGTTAAAGGTGTCTGTCCAGCCCTGAACCGCCTCGAGGTCAGCTCCGCTCACGCCGATACTCCAGCAGTGCTGCGAGGGCGAAGCGAGGGGATCGAGGAATGGGCTGGCGGCCTGCTGTCCGCGAAGGCCGACAAAGAACGCCAGCCTCACGGCCTCGACACCGCTCTGGACAATCTCCATCGGCTGCTCGAGTCCAGAGCCCGCCAGCGCGAGGGCGGCCAGCACGCCAGTGCAGTACCCGGCGTAGACTTGCTCGTCTTCCACGCAGAGCGGGCTTTCGTCGCGGTCGAGTGCTGCCGGGAACGATGCAGAAGGGATCGGGTCGCGCGGGCGGGATCAGCGTGGCATCAAAATGGCATCGAAGCGAGCAGAGACGAGCACATACCTTCGAGGATGAGACCAACGTTGCCGGCGGCCACAATGGCACCGTTGAAAGCCGCGTTGGTGTACAGCGTCTCTTCGTGGTACCGTGCCATGGCAGCAAAAGACCGAAAAGCGGACCGAGGAGGGCAGCAATCAAGGTCGGCGTGCTCTAGGCTGTCGACATCTTCCAGCAGCGCCGTCGAGACGAGGTCAAGGAACGTCGACAGAAGCGCCGAAGCTCCTGACCTTTCGATCACCGTCCGACACAGTGTCGAGGTGGGCAGGCATTGCGGTCCTAGGACGATCACCTGCATGCCGAGTGCGGGCAATCAGGATTGCGTGGGGACGCCGCGACGAGTGAGGCAGGATGCAGTCCAGCTGTGCTCAAGAATGGTCGACGCAGTCGAGGAAGGAGGTTCTGGACGGGCGGTCTAAGCGCCGAGTTGTCGGAGGAGGAGCGGCGGAAACAGATACGACGCGCAGCGGGAGCGGGAGCGGGAGCGGAGAAAGGGGCAGGGGCAAGATCAGGGGACGGAGATGAAGCGGTGGTCGAGGTGGTATGCTTTGGTCCCATGAGTAGACGCGGAAGACGCCGTCAGTCCTCTTATACTCACTCTGAGCGGCCAAGCTAGGACAGAGACGCTGATTCGGTCGCAGTTAGCTGGGGCGAGTCAGAGATCTTTTCACCGAAATGCAGGCGGACCGGATACGAGCCGGTCAAGGTGGGACCTGAATGCGTCGGCAGCAAAACGGCCCCCGGTCACGTCGTTGGCAGTGGTCTTCCCTCCCCGGCTGAAGAAGGCTGCAGCTCTTTCTGCAATGGCGAGCCAGCCTGTGCGCAACTGGTGGCTTCGGGATGACAGGCTCGATTGGGATCGCGAGATCGGGAAGGTACTCGAGCGGCCGACCGGGAGGATCAAGCAGGAACGGGCAGAACGGTAACGGTCGATGAGCAGCTCGATAAGAAGGTGCGTTTGCGGCCAAACCAATCCGGAGACGAGCTCTTGACGCTTAGTGAGGGCGCTCCGGCAGAAAGCAAGCAAGTAGTAGCAGCCAGGACGGCAACGTCGGCAGCCTAGAAGTTCCATGGATGGAAGCGGCACAACTCGACCGCCTGTCATGGATCCGAAGGTCAGATCGACAGGGTCAGCGGGCAGCGAGGCGCTGGGACGGTGGTCGGCTGGTTGTCGGGGGCGCGAAGGCACGGGGTCTCTAGTACGAAACGATCCAGGATCAGGCTTTCAGCTGGCATTCTTTTGTCAAGGCCGACAACTGCTCTTTCCGGGAAGGCAGATAGAAACGGGGCTGGCCCGTCTTGCCTGATGCAGACATGGATCCGTGGATCGAGAGCGACGGGTGAGGGGAAAGAGCAGTCGGCAGCACGCACGGCGAGCCGCTGTAGCGGTCCGGCTAGCAGAGAAGCCGCCCCGGTGACCGGATGCCTGGGCAGGTCAGGCACGGCTGATGCCGGCATGGTAAAGGAAGTCGTCCATTTGGCAATCTGCGGTGACGGCATCGTCGCAGAAAGTGGGGCCGACCGATAATCAAGGTCAATCATATCATGTGCGTCGTTGAGGATTCCGATGACTACATTCCGTTTGCATGCTCTGCTGTCTGGCGGCGCTGATGGGCGAGGGCGGAGCTGAGGTTCAGGAGCGGGCCGAGGTGCGTTCTGAAAGAGACCTGGATGTGGACCGCATGGCGGGCGAGACGACCGCCAGCCTGGCATGGAGATGGGCCAGCAGATGGGGCGACGAGGTCGCAGGAAGCAGAAGGAGGAGAAGTGGGCCGAAAGAGGTGGGGCGTTGTCAGGCAAGCGGGCAAGCAGGCAAGCAGGCCCGTGGCTTGCAGCCCAGAAGGCGCCGGCCATTTCGGATCCGGCGGGCTTCAACAGCACACGCTGGCCCCGCGCCGCCGCCTGTGGCCCGCCCACCGTCTACGCTCCTCTCTCGAATGTCAGGCAGAACCCCGACCGCCTAGTAGACTTTGCCGCTGCCTTTCCTGGCCGGCCGACGACCATACGCTTCTCTCTCTACCACAACGGCTTAGTGAGGGCCTATATGGCTGACTCGCCGCGCAGTGCGATGCAGCAGACGACATTCCGGATTCCGGTGGGGCTAGATGGACAGCGGCAAGACCGCGCCGAGGTCGCCGGAGGGCACACACAGCAAGCACTCGCGACGGCTGAGGCGGCCCCTGTTGCCGTTGGAACGATGGCCGACCCTGACGATGCCGCCGCTCCTGCTCGTCTGGCGACCGAACCGGCGGCAAGATGATGCGCCGCCAAGGATGCGACATTCCTTAACGGCAGGTCTGGTCTGGTTCTGTCCCGCGGCCAGCAGGCGGAGGGCCGGCGGCCGCAGCCGCGCGGTCATGTCCACTTCCGGGTCCAACGCGTCGCCCATCTGCGTCTTGCCGGCTCACCACCAGCACCCGCATTCCGCCCGTCTGTCAGACTGTGCCTCACGCCGATCCTCGCCGTCGCCAGCCACAGACCATCCCGGCACCGCCACCACGGGCTCGTCCTTGTCACCATTCCCCTGTCTTCTCCATCGCGGTCCGCTCGTCCTCCGATCGACACCGGCCCAGAGAGGCGGTACGCCGCTCGCCCTCTCGCCATGACAAGCAACTCCGCAGCTCGAGACAGATGGCAGCACAGCCCTTGGCCTGCCGATCTTCCCTACCCTGGCGGTTCATTGAGCGAATAGAGCGTTTGCCCGTTGCGGAATTGACTTTACCGTTCCTTGCACTCGGCGCCTTGTCGGACCCTGCCCAACCCTGGCGTTTCCGCCGCTGTTCGGTGCAGCCACGGGTCGCACCGCCGCACCTGTACCGATACCGATCCCTTCGCCGCATCCGCCATAGGGTCGAATTGTCCATGCTCCGCTGTTGCAGCCATGCCCTTTCTGCTTCGGGCCGCTCGGGAATTGAGCTCCAACTTCCGCAATCTTCGAGCGCAGAGCAATGACGATGTGCTTCGACGATCGAGGAGCATCGCACGGCCTTTTTTCTCGCGCCTTGGGCGCAAGGGTGCCATGCCGGCGATCCCGAATGCAACTAGTACAACGTCCGGGCCGAGCTCGTTGGCAGAGCGCGCAATCATCGTGTCGAGAAGACGTCGGACTGGGCGGTCGGTCGCCAAACTCGAGACTTCTGTCGAGGCTGCAGGTTCCTTAAAGAGCTGAAGGACTGTCGTGCCAATCGAGGCGCCTGGAAGCCCACACCAACCTCTCTGCCCTTCCGCAACGAGCCCAGCGCAAGGAACACCGCCGCCATGGTCTTGAGCTCCACCGACGCCGCCGAACTGGCGAGATCGCCTCTTTCCTACCTCGAGCAGAGGTGCCATGCGCTCCATATCGGGGCGAGCCTGATCCCCGGTCTCGCCGGCGAGCTTCGTTGGAGGCGGGTGGCCACTCTGGTCGACAGGAGCTACAAGGTCAAGGCCTTCACACAAGCAGCCTTCAAAGCCATCAGGAAGTGCCTGCAGGTCATCAACGCCTCGCGCCCGGCAGACGGGCAGCTCGTCACGGACGACCTCTCGCTCCAGGCGCTTGCGAGCCCTGCGTTCGCATCTCGGGTCGAGCTGACCTACGCTCTTGAGGTCACCTTCTACCTCAGCACCATCCTCGGCTCGCTCAGCGCCGTGCCAAACCTGAGGTACGAGACCAAGAAGTTCGAGTACCGCCACATTGCAGCCTACGGCGCCATCTCTGGCCCGCTCTGCCGGGACGCTGTTCAGGACGCCCGCACTGAATCGGAGCTCATGTTTAAGGGCATCGAAGCCGTCAAGCTAGCAACCATCCTCGGGTTTGCCGTCAAAGATTCGCAGACGGCAGGCAACGTGGCCCTCTTGGTCCGACTAAACTCGACCCTCGTGCTCCCCTCTGAGCTGATCCCGATTGGAACTGCGGTGGACAGCGCCACCATCTACTCGGCCCCGCGACAACTCGCCGCGACGCTCCAGCACGAGCTCGAAGCCAATGGCCAAGGATGTGCAGCCATCCTCGGAGTCATGCAGCTGATCGAGCCGTCTAAGGCCCAGCAGATCCGCCAGGCCGCTCTCGACATCTACGAGACCGGTGGTCTCAGGCCGAGATCTTTCCAGAGCGACCATGCCGCCCGGGCTCTTCAGGTCGCTCTCGATGCATCCCTCCATGACTTCGAGGCCCACCAGAACGCTGTCGATTCTATTCACAGCACTACCAAGCAGGCTGGCTGCTCGTCTGCAGCGAGCGACCGCCCCAAGATTGAGTTTGTCGGCTGTTCGCTCTCGTTCATCAGAGACCACACTGACATCTGCCAGCAGGTCGCTGGCGCTCATATCCGGCCGCACGCCCTGGACTCGGATCGACCGATCAGCTCGGACCCCTCACGTCGCTCTGCCAAGGCGTCCACCGTGATTGGCACTCCCGCGGGCGAGATCGCCATCGTCGGCATGGGCTGTCATGTCCCCGGCGGCGGCGAGGGTCACGAAGCGTTCTGGAGGCTACTCCAGGACGGCCTCGACGTCCACCAGCCTGTGCCCGAGCGCCTCTTCAACATCAAGGATTACAAGAGCGCTAGCTACCGCGACCGAAACACGCTCAGAGCCAACCACATGAACGCGCTCGAACGCCCGGAGATCTTTGACCCTGCTTTCTTCGGCATCGACGACGACTTCGCCCTCAAGATGGACCCGCAGCAGAGGCTCGCGCTCCAAGTCGTCCACGACACGCTCGGCACGGCGGCCTACCACCCCGGCGCGACAAAGTCGTTCGACCCCGCCCGGATGGGAATCTTCGTCGGCGTCTGCTCCGACGACTACCGCGAGAACGTCTCGATCGACATCCAGCGGGGATTCACCGACGGCACCTTTCGAGCCCAGATCGCCAACCGCATCTCAAATTTCTACGGCTGGCAGGGGCCTTCGGTCACGCTCGACACCGCATGCTCGTCGGCGCTGGTCGCCATCGAGAGCGCCTGCTCCTACCTCGCCGCCGGCAAGTGCGACGCCGCTATCGCCGGCGGTGTCAACGTCCTCACCCAGCCTCAGATCTTCATCGGTCTCGATCGCGGCTTCTTCCTGAACAGCACGGGGCAGTGCAAGACATTCGACGAGGGCGGCGACGGCTACAGTCGTGCCGACGCCGTATCGTTCGTCATGCTCAAGAGGATGCAGGACGCTGTGGCTGAGGGGGACCGCATTCTCGGCACCATCTGCTCCGCGGCCACCAACCACAGCGGCGAGTCGCACTCCATCACCCACCCGCACGCCCCGACGCAGCGCAGGCTGTACGAGGCCAACCTGCTGGCTGCCGGCCTTCGCCCCTGCCAGCTGGCCTATCTCGAGTGTCACGGCACGGGAACCCAGGCCGGCGACGGACAGGAGATGGCTGGCATCCTCTCTATCTTCGGCAAGGACAAGGAGAGGACGAGCCAGCTGATTGTTGGCTCGGCGAAGGCCAATGTCGGCCATTCTGAATCGGCCTCAGGCGCCACATCGCTGGTCAAGACGCTCATGTGCCTTGGAAAGCAGCAGGTGCCGCCGCACGTGGGCATCAAGGGCGTCATGAACAAGGGCTTCGGCGACCTTTCTCGCATCAACATCCCCATCAACGGCGCAGAGATGAGGCCTGCCGGCTGCGACGCTCGATATGCGATGGTAAGCAACTTTAGCGCCGCAGGCGGCAATACCAACATGATCATCCGCGAGGGCCGTGCTCCAACTCGCCGCGCCATCACTGGACTGGCCTACGAGGCTCTTCCCGACCTGAACCCCCGCAAGCACATCTTTGCCATCTCCGCCAAGAGCACCGCATCTCTATCCGCCCTGGTCGCCAGATACCTCGCGCACATTCGAAGCGGCGGGATCGATCTTGCGGAGCTCTGCTACAACTCGACCGGCAGGAGGCTTCACCAGACGCTTCGCGTCAGCGGCGTCGTCTCGAATCTCGAAGACGTGAAGAAGCTGCTCGAGACGCAAAAGGTCGACGAAACCTCGCCGCCCGTCCGAGCTCCCGGCAGGCTCGCCTTCATCTTCTCTGGTCAGGGCTCGCAGTACATCAACATGGCCCGCGAGCTTTTCGACTCGGTCCCGCACTTCCGCCGCTGCATGCAGCGTTGCAGCCGCATCCTGGCCGGCCTGGGCTACCCGGGCTTCCTCGACGCGATCTACCCTGCCGCTGACGCCGCCGGAGAACCACTGGCACCCACCCCGTACGAGAACCAGGTCGGCATCTTCGCCCTCGAGTACAGCCTCGCACAGCTGTGGCTGAGCTGGGGCCTGCAGCCCTGCGTCGTCGCAGGGCATAGTCTAGGCGAATACGCCAGCCTGTGTGTGGCCGGGGTGCTCTCGCTCCACGACACTCTATACCTGGTCGCGACGCGGGCGACCATGATGGTCGAGCACTGCAAGGCAGACGTCTCTGGTATGCTCGCAGTGCGCGATACTCCGATCAAGGTCGAAGAGGTGCTCGGTCAGGCCGAGATCGAGCATTGCGATATCGCGTGCCGCAACGGCCCACAAGACACCGTCGTGGCCGGCCCCCTCGAGTCGATCGAGGCGGCGGCCAAGGCGCTCGAAACGGCCCACATCAAGGCCTTCCGAGTCTCAGTGCCGTATGCGTTCCACTCGACCGCCATCGAGCCGCTATTGGTCCCATTCGCCGAGGCCGCCAAGAAGGTCAAGTTCAACGCACCCCAGATCGCCGTCCTGTCCAACGTGCACGGCAGGGTCGTCCGACCTGGCGAGGACGACGTTTTCGGTCCGGACTACGTCCTGGCTCACGCCCGGCGAGTCGTTCGGTTTGGCGAGTCGATCCATGACTTCGCCTCGGCCGAGGAGAACAGGGAGGTCAAGCTGCAATGGCTCGAGATCGGACCTCATCCGATCTCGCTGCCGATGATCAAGGGCGTCCTGGCCGACATAGGCCGGCCGGCCGAGCCCAGTGCGCTCGTACCGTCACTCAAGAAGGGAACCGACTCGTACTGCACACTGCTCTCGGCCGTGAACACCCTCTTTCAGCAGGGCTTCAACATCCGTTGGCCCTCGTTCCACGTCAGCACCGCCACGGTGACGCGCACAATCGAAATGCCCGCCTACCCGTTCGAGGAAAAGAAGTTTTGGAAGCCCTTCCAGGACCGCGGCTTGCGCGACCATCTCGTCAAGCCGCGGCCCGCCCTCGTTTCCCGCATCCCTTCCCGTCAACGCAAACAAGGGCGACCCCCAAAGAGGTCCGGCGGCCAGAGCAGACCGTCGCAGCGCTTCCAGTCTAAGTACACTCTGCTCTCAGACGCCACTATGACCGGCTCGCTCGCAACCGATGATCTGAGTTTCGTCATCGATGCCGCTCGCGAGCCATCCGAGGCGCTCATCATGGGCCATCTGATCCGCGGAAAGGGTATGATGAGCGCAACTCTCATCTCGGAACTCGCCCTCGAGGTAGGCTACTTTGCCTTCAAGCACGAGAGTCCGAACGAGCCCGAGCCGACCTTCCAGCTCCGCAACGTCAACATGTTCGCCCCGTTCCTCAAGGATGCCGGCGGAAGTGTCGGACTGCAGGTCAAGGTCCGCGGCACGCTCAGCAGCGCCGAGGGCCTCCACGTCGAGCTCTTCACCGCCAAGGACGCCAACCGCGCCGCCTCGCACCACGCCAGCTGCTACGTGCGCATCGACGACGGCCAAGGCGAAAAGGAGTGGAAGGACATCGGAGCCATGATCGAGGGCCGCATCGAGAGCCTGCAAAAGAATGCCGAGAGCTGTTTCCGCAAGGAGCTAGCCTACCAGCTCTTTGAGAACGTTGTCGAATACACCGACGTCTACCGCGGCATGGATCAGATCTACATGACCGACACAGGCGACGAGGCGACTGCTGTCGTGGTGCGCTCCATGCAGCCTACCGCTCGGTTTGTCTGCGACCCGGCGCTCCAAGACTCGTTCGGACAGCTGTAAGTCGCCTGCCCGCGGAGACCCCCTTCTATCCCCGTGGCTTGCGATGCTGACCGATGCCTTCGTTCTTCACTTCCTGCTTTCTGCCAACGTATCAGCTCGGGCTTCATCCCAAACGTCGGCATCGTCGACGGCGACCACGTGGCGATCGCCAATGGCATCAAGTCGATCCACTTTAGCCAGGCTTTGATCGACATCAACGCCGACCCGGCGGCCAACGGACCGTACCTGACATACTGCAGGATGGTGGACGAGTCGCCGAACCACGATGGCGTCTACGTCGGCGACATTTACATCACGGATCCGCAGGGGCGCTACCTCGGCCTCTTCGGTGGAGTCCAGTTCAAGCGTGTCAAGAAGGGCATCCTTGATAGGCTCATGTGCCTGGGCGGATCGGCGAAAGCAGCAGCGTCGAGCAAGGTGCCCGCTGTCAAGGCTGGTTAGTGCGCGGCCTTCGCCCCATCATCCTCCCTCGCGCACACACCGACTCCGCCTTGCGCTTGCTTTGTTCGCACTGAGTCCAAATTGTTGCTCATTCGATGTACATCTTTTCTGCCTATTCACTCCCTGACCCGCTACAGTGTCAAAGCCTGCGTACAACCCTCATTGTGAGCCCGCAAAGACGGTGTCTGAGCCGGCTGCAGTGGCGTCAAGACGGACTGGCACCGATGGCGGCAGGAATGGCGCAGCGCCGCTCCCTCAACCGCAACTGGTGCGCCTGTCGTCGTCGACTATTAGGGGCAAAGCACCTCTCCTCCTGTTCCCGGACGGGTCCGGATCGCCCTATGCCTACCTCGATCTCGCAGCCTGCCTGCCAACAACGAGCGAGACGCTGGCCTTTCAGTCGCCCTTCTTCGACAGTGCACAAGCTTGGACAGGACGACTGGACCAGCTCGTCTCGGTATACGTCTCGTCCATCTTGCAACAGTACCCGGAGCCCACCTCGCTGATGCTGGGCGGGTGGAGCATCGGCGGCTTGATCGCGCTCAAAGTAGGCGCTTCGCTCTGCTTGCACGGCTACACTATTCGGCAGATCAGCCTCATCGACTCACCGATCCCGGACCCGGTGTTGCCGCTCAGCAGCGAGGCGCTCGAGATAGTGGTGGGCAGGATCCGCAAATCTGTCGGTATCGCTGGCGCCGCGGCGAACAAGAGGCAGGACAAGATCGAACGGCACTTCCGCGACTGCGTGTCCAGACTCGCGGGCGAGGTTATTGGTCCGGCCTTCCTCGACGGCGTCCCGGGCATAGGCAAAATTCTGCTCGTCGATGCCACAATCAAGGACGCTTTCCAGGATGTCATGTCCAACGATGTGATGCGGTGGCGGAAGGTCCTTGGCACCTTGGCCAGAATTGAGATCAAGAAGGTCAAGGCGGACCATTCGACCGTCGTGCGCCAGCCCGCAGTCGAAGAGGTGGCGCGCTGTATGTAGGACAATCGCTCTCGACATCTCAGTCCGGTGTGGTACAGAACCGTCGATGCGTTGCAGATCAATGTCGAGCCTCGGCTCGCGGATGAGCAAGAATCGTGGGATTCCGAGATGTAGAACAGGTAGCGACTGTGATTGATGAGCAGTAGTGGTCACGAACGCTCCCAAAGCACGGCAAGCGACACTCAGCAGGCCAACAAGGTAAGGGGGCATGCTTTCAACCCGACTTCGCCACCTGCTTCCAGAAGGCCGCGATGAATTCGCCGGACGCAGGCTGACCCATGTGTCCCTGACCCGGAAAGAGGCGCAGCGTGGCTCCGTCGCCGTGGGTGGCGAGCAGGACAGAATCGTCTGCCGTTCACGTGGGCAAGCGCGACGACATGCAAAGTCAGCCCGGTGGCGACAGCATTGGCTGCACATGAGTCTGAGCAGTCGCACTCACCGATCGGGAAGACGGTGTCGTCCATACCGTTGACCACTGTCACGGGCGCCGATTTGGCATCAAGCACGCCCTGGTCTCGCAGAGAGTACCTCTTCGATTGCTCGGCGAATTCAAGCTTGTCATCGTATCCGAAAGCCCCGGCGAGCGCGTTCCAGAGGCTGTGTGAAGAGACGGACATCAGCCGCCGACGTCCAGATGCGCAGCAGCACCGACGCGGCGCGCCTGGAATTATCACTCACGCCACGGGATAGCCTAGTTTGTCGGAGGATTCGAGCCAGCTGCTCATCATTGAGCGCAAAGAGAGATTGCGGCGTCAATCGACTGAAGGCATCGATCTCGACTCGGGTCCGCGGATACTCACTCGGGCTGGAAGGTATAATGGCTCGCGGTGCCCTGGGTCAGGACGCCCTTTAGCCTCCTGCGCTCGCTTCGGGAGATTTTGACAGACCAGTAGCTTCCGGTCGAAGTACCCCAGGCGTACACATCGTCCTTGCTCCAGCGTCGTCGTCCCGCCTCGGCGTGGATCCAGTCCATGATCGACCGCCAAAGCTTGGCGTCGTCCTCCGGCTTCTTTCCAGTAATCGGTGCATCGCCTGTTCCGGGCATGTCGACGTTGATCACTGTGAAGCCCTGGTCGCACAGGTCGGCCACTTCGGTTAACTGGCCACTTCGGTAGTGGTCCAGCCCAGCAATCATGAGAACGACTTTGGACGAGGCAGGTGTTCTCTTTGGCCCGGTGATGTAGACCGGAACGTTTTTAGAGAAGCTGCCCGAGGGCGCGTCCTTGAAGGGGATCGAGACCGACTCGAAGGCGTACCTCCCGAGCCTGGTCCAGGCGGGCCGGAGATGCAGCCGGAGGTGAGCGGCTGTCGACTTCAATTCCGCGGCAGCAAGCGCATCTCACCTCATTCCGGCTTCGTAGGCCTTTTTCTCGAGACGCCACGCCTTTGCTTTCAGATGGGAGTGGCTCATGAGACCGTACCAGGGGAAGTATCCGATTCGAAAGACCGTCGCAGCGCGTCTGCGGGTCGACTCGGACCGACGCGGAGGGGGTTCCTTCGTTCAGTGACAGGTCCTGAGCGTGCGGGAGTAAGCCGAGGGGCTTTCGGGTGCCTCACAGGTATGTCTTGCTCGCCAGGTCGGTCAATCCCTCGTTCTCGTACTCCTGCGCCATCTTTAAGACGTGCTGACCGGGTTCCAAGAACGGCTCGGCCCACTTGTCATCGTCGAAGTCGTTGGCGGACTGCCCCGGGTAGCGTTCCATCAACGTGCCCATGATGGACTCGAAATCCGAGTGGTTGCCCCACTGGTCGAACGGATAGACTCCAATTCTCGACTGCTCTCGCGGCGAGAGGCACGGAGAGGGTCGTCTCAGCGAGATCGTATCGGACCGATCGGCGAGAACGTCATGCGATCGTCTGACTCACCAGAGGATCCCAATTGGTCTTCCATAGCAGCTCCATCGACTGGTGCCACGGGTACTGGCTGTAATCATATTGCTTGCCGGTCCGATAGGTGAGGTGCGTCGGTTCGGCAGCGTGTGCAGACAGTACAGGGAGCAGTGCCACAGCAAATGCCGCTGCTCTGCTCAAGCTGAACGTGGTGAGGTGCATGGTATAGATAGTGAGTTGGAGTGGTGGCGGCGAAATGGGACAGGGTGGTGGTAAGGAAGGGGAGAGCGGCTGTTGAGGTCTGTGACGGGCGTGGGACAACTTGCGAGCAGTTGGCCATGTATGGTTGGCTGCGCAGGTCCAGCAAGCTCTCTGTCGAACACCGGAAAGCGCTCCTATGGCCGAAAGATTGCCCGGAAAGGTCTCGTCTGGTAGGCGGTCCGCACCTGTCGAGCCAGCGTCAGGCAGTATTCTGCATCCGTCGCTGCAGATCTTCGGGCGCGGATGCCAGGGAGCCTTCGCCATGCTACGAGCATGGCAGGCAGCGCAGCTTCACAAGGCTACAGCTAGCGAAAGCAGCCTCACTCTGTTGGGTCTTGGTCTCCTTTCAAGCGGTAGGACATGGTGTAGCAGCACGTCTTCGGGTCCAACCAGCCGTCATCCGTTGCTCTTCATTCTTCAATTCTCCCGCGACGGGCCGTGGCAGGCCGGACGTGCACGCCTGTTGCGGACAATCCCTGGGCACACCCGGAGTTAGCCGTCGACGCCTGCCGTAGCGTTGCAGAGCATAACCTCGCTCGCGAGCGCGTCTGTGTGCTGCGAACAAGGATGTGCCGTGCTCGGTCGACCGGGACGGAGGAGAGGGGTCCGCGTTTACAGGTCGGAATGCTCGATGCAGGGTCCCTTGGGTCGCCCACCACCCAGGTCGGGCAGGGAACGAGGCTAGGGTCCCTCGCGAGGCCAGGCCTTCCCGATTCGGAAACGGGGTCGTTCGCTGCCTTTGGCGTAAAGTGACGTGGCCGGCGGAATCGCGAACCGAGAGCGAGCAAAGGATGAAGGCCGGGGAACTCGAGAGGTGGTCAGGCCATCGACGATCAGAGGGCTCCTGTGACCGGCCTGCTTCCGAAGTCGTTCTTCCGCCATCGGCCCGGCCGTGACTCTTGGCCCACTACTCGCTACTTAGCTGGAACCAGACTACTAGCTGCGTCTACAGGCTCACGCGCGGGAAGATCGCCGTCGACGGCCTTGGCAAGCTGGTCGGCTCGTAATCTGCTCCGTTGCACCTCGTGCTCGCCCATGTGCCGTATCACAAACGGCCCTGCTTGACATCGGCAGAGCATCGACAATTTCGACTAATTGCTCTCCTCACGGCCCCTCGGCCCTGCCGGCGGGCTCAAGTGCATTCACAAGGGGCCCGATGGCCGCCGTGAAAGCTTATCTCGACCATGACGTCTTCCTTGACCCAAGCTCAACCTTCACCGATGCCCCAGAGGTCGGGCCGTATATCAGGTCACGATGTTGTCGGCGTTCTAGCCAGCTTCCCGTGACATAGACCTCCTGAGGAAGCATAACCATCACTCTCGACGCCGTCTGATTTCGTCTCAAGCGACGGGGACCTTGCCTACTTGCGCATTGACCATGGACGACCAGGGAGCACGGATACGAGTCCTTTGCCTTCACGGCAAGGGGACCAACTCCAACGTGATGACCACGACGATGAGGCCCCTCACCCGCAACCTGGGCTCCTCGATCGAGTGCCACTACCTCGACGGACCGGTTCCCTGCGCGCCCTACCACGGCATCCAGCAATTCTTTGGGGATCAGCCGTACTTTGCGTGGTACGATGCGCCGACGCGCGAAAACCTCGAAGAGGCCTATGCCTACGTCCTCACCTACATCCTGTCCAAGGGGCCGGGCTTCTTTGACGGCATCATGGGCTTCAGCCAGGGGGCGGCGCTGGCGGCCACGCTGGCGATACGACACCAGGACAAGCTCTTCCGCTTCGCCGCTTTCCTGTGCGGAGGGAGGCCGTTCGATCCTGCCACCGGGCAGCGCTACGAGCATGTCCCAGGAGAGCGCAGCGGGCTCGCCGCCTCGCCATTCGAGCTCGAGCTCGAGAAGGACAGGGGCAGCCGATCGGTCTCGATCCGAAGGACCTCGTCGATCGATCGGAGGAACCGAGAGATTGCGCCGGCGTCGGCCAGCAAGGCGCTGTCGGCGTCGCTCTACGCCATCCGGATCCCCACGGTCCACCTCATCGGGCTGCACGATTCGGCCAAGGCTGAAGGTGTCAAGCTGATGGAGCTCTGCGACCCAAAGCTGCGCGAGGCCTTCGAGTACGACGGGGGTCACTGCCTGCCTCGCAGGTCGACCGACGTCGTCGAGCTGGCCAGCCTTTTGCGCAAGGCCAGCGGCCTCGTTGTCGTCGCCTAGACGCCGGCGGCCCATCGGCGGCTGCCCGCGGCGTTGTAGGCCCACCTCGCTTCCGCCCTGCTGCGGGGGCACTGCTTGCTCGCCCGCTCTTTCGCTTTTCGTCGGCGTCGGGTCCGAGATTACATCCGACGACCTCGCTGTGCGCCGCAATTCATAGACCTGCCACCCTTTGTCAGAGCTGGACCATGCGCTGCGCTCTCGTGTCCGCGACGGGAAGGTACTGCATGTATGTATGTATACCCTCGAGGATGGCCGAGAGAGAGTCCTGCCCATGCCGGTCGATGGAGAATGAAAAGCTGGGTCCGGCACCTGCACCTGGCGAAAACCGGATTTCGCCATCCAGGCACGGCCTCGAGCGACATTCCTGGCAAAGCACACGCTTCGTCGGAGGGGGTAGCAACCTGCCTCTGACCACCCACCACCACCACCACCGCCTTTGGCTCTTGCTCCATCCGTCCCCGCCGTCCGGGGCACGCAGCTTCCATGACGGCTGTCTCACGGCTTCGTTTGGCATTCCGACTTACTCGCGGCCACCTCTGTCCTCCCTAGGCCGTCTTTGCCCCGCTCGCCCTGGCATCGGAGACTGCGGTCAAGGTCCTGGCATCGACCCACGCTTGCTGTACCGCGACGCACCGCCATGTCAGGACCACGCTTGCCGCCGCCACATATGGGCCTTGCGCAACCGTGCCCCGGCGGCTGAGAACATTTCAAAGCAAGAAGGAGGCCGCACAGCGAGTCACTACCGTTCCCACGACGACAAACTTGCCTCTGTGGCTGCTCATCTCGCCGTACGAGGATCGCTCACTGACTAGCCGCCCTCTCGTAGCTGGCGGTCAGCGGCCAACCGCCAATGTTGAACAAGTCTACACAATGATCAAGTCCCGCTACGATCAGGACGTTGTCTGATACCTCGACGACCATATGCTCACTCAATGATGGCCGACACGGCTTCTATCGGCGACGGCACTCTGAGCGTACACACGCCGCCGGTACGCAAAGGGAGGTGATACAGCTTGTCGGATGGTCGGGGGCGCCTTGATCACGGCCCGCCGCCTGCCCCATTGTCGCCGCTCGCACGCGCCATCGCCGGCCCCCTTGCTCTCAACTTCCAGCCTCCTGCGTAGATCCAGACACGTAGACTCCACAGCGCCGCAGTGCCTGGTCGCCACCGCAGCCGGCGGCCGCGGCGACTTCCAGAGTCGTACGACGTGCCGGAACCACCCTTCGTCGGGCATTCGACTTCGGGCCGCAGACGCACGTCGGTGCTTCGGCACGTCGAGAGCCCGTCCCAACTCTGCCGCCGGAGTCCCTGAAGGGCTTCCATCCCCGGAACCTTGATGCCATGCCATCAAGCCCTCTTCTTCCTCCCTTATCTCCCGTCCTTTCCACCCTCTCTTCCCTACCCCTCCATCCGCCTCTCATCGTGCTTCATTGACGGGACCCAACCCCACGAACACCCTCCTTTCACCATACCACCACCGCTGACCGACGACAACCGGTCCTGACCGACGACAAACGGCCCTTCAACCCTTCTACGCTTCGCAATGCGAGCAATGTCGCTACTGCGGGTGCCTCTGGGCTTCGCTGTGGCCTTCCTTGCGCTTCTTGCCGTCTCTGATGCCGCTATCATCAAGCCGGTCGCCGACGGAGAGAGCCTCGTGGAAAGGCACGCCGCCCTCTCGCGCCTTCCGCACGCGGCCGGCTTCGTCGTCAAGCGCGAAGACTACGAGCTCGAGAGGAGGGCGATGCCCGAGCCAGACAAGAAGGAGCGCCTCGTCATCACCTCTGCCGACATCTCGCCCGACGGCTTCACCAGGCGGGGCATTCGCGTCAACGGAGAGTACCCGGCCAAGACGTTTGTGTGGGACGAGGACGACGACATCGAGATCGAGGTAATCAACGATTCGGACATCGCCTTTTCGCTGCACTGGCACGGTCTGCACCAGTACGGCACGCCGGAAATGGACGGCGTGCCCGGCGTGAGCCAGTGGTCTATCTACGGCGGAGACACGTTCGTCTACCGCTTCAAGCTGACCGGCCAGCACGGCAGCTACTGGTGGCACAACCACGGCCACTTTGGCTATGAGTCCGGCCTTCGCGGTCACATCTACATTCGCCCCAAGCCGGGTACGCCGAAGCCCTGGGCCCGCCTGACCGACTCGGAGGACGAGCAGCAGCAGCTCGAGGACGCCGAGAGGCACTTTCAGACCCTCGTCGCAACGGACCAGTGGCACGTCAACCATAACGAGGTGCTCGAGACGGTGCAGAAGTCCGGCACCCCTCCGGCCTGCTTCGACTCGCTGCTCATCAACGGCAAGGGACGCGTCTACTGTCCAAACGACTATGCTGCTGTCGCCGGCCCTGCCACGCTCGGCCTGCTCTCCAACTTCTCGGCTGTCAATCCCGAGGGCTTCACGAGCAAGGGCTGCATCTCGCTCGTGCCTCCGAAGCCGGGCTACGAGACCAAGAGCACGCTCGACACCTACTACGGCGGCCCTTGCAAGAACACCACCCATCCCCTCGAGGTCTTCAACGCTGGCAAGGCGCTCCAGGCTGGAAGGAAGTGGCTCAATGTCCAGATCTCCAACGAGGCCACCAATTGGTACTACGGCCTCAGCATCGACGGTCACAAGATGTGGATCGTCGCCGTCGACGGCATCTACATCGAACCGCTCAAGGTCGACTTTCTACAGATCACCATCGGCAGCCGCCTCTCGGTCATGATCGAGCTCAATCGCGAGAAAGCCTACCGAGACTGGCCGATCAGGCTGACGAGCACCCGGCCCCTTCAGCCGATCGAGGCCAACGCGATGCTGTCGTACGACGCCGAGGCGCCGGACTCGATGGACCTGTCCCTCGACGAGGGTTTCCACGTGCTGCTCGAGAACCGCACCGACACGCCCATCACCTTTGGCGGCGTCGTCAGGCCGGGCACCAAGCAGTGGGTGCAGAAGGACTCGGTGCCGTACCTCCCTTCGAAGAACGTCCCGCGTCACGCCAACATGACGCTGCACGCCGTCACTTCGCAGAATTCGCTCAACGTGTGGCAGATTGCGTCGCAGCCGATGGACACGGTCGTGCTCGAAGACACCAAGCCCGCCCTGTTCAAGGCGGTCGACTCGGTGCCGCAGAACAAGGACCTCAACCCGTACGCCACGGTGCCGTGGGGCACGGTGATGGACATCATTGTGCGCAACAACGTCTACTCGATCGTCGGCGGACCCAACAGCCCGCACCCCATGCACCTCCACTCGCGCCAGTTCTGGATCATTGGCGAAGGCAAGGGCGACTTTCCCTACGACTCTGTGGCGGAAGCCGAGCGGGACGGGCTCCAGTTCCGGTACGACAACCCGCCGCTGCGCGATGGGTTCGACATTGGCCCGAACTCCTGGACCGTGATCCGGTACAGGGTGGACCATGCCGCTGCCAACATCCTGCACTGCCACATCGACGACCACCTGATTGAAGGCATGGCGGCCGTACTGCTCGAGGGGGTCGAGACGTTGCCACGGGGACACTTTGGCAAGGCGTATACCGAGAGGCCAGAAAACTGGCACGAGACGTCGCACCAACCCGCCGCAGCGGGCGTCGAAAAGAGCCTGCAATCCGGTCTGGCCGCCAACAAATACCCCGCTCCCGTGCCGACAGAGTCGGCCCAGGCCTTTGTCGATACCTGGGGCGACCCGCGTCCGCTCGCCCAGAGCATCGAGGCCATCGCTTCCGCCTCGGCCGCGGCAAAGGCTGCGGCCACGCCATCGCCGACGCCGACGTCGACGCAGCAGAGGAGGGGCGATCACCGTCTCGTCAAGCGCAGGCAGATGGGCTTCCGACCTTCGTCGACGTCCTGAGACGGGGTCGGTCAGCTGCTTCGCCTCGCCTCTGCTCCGGTCTCGCATCCTGTACATCAGCGGCCCCCTTTTGTTCCATAGACTTGCTCGTCCTCGGCCTGTCCCTGACTAGGTCCCGAGAAGGAAGAAGCTCGTACGCATCCCACACCTGTCCGAGTTCTCGAGCGAAGAGCACCGAGACACTGCGCTGACATGCTCAGTCAGCCTTCGAGAGACGCTTCGAGTTTGTTGTCTGAGATTGCGGGAGAAGACGACGGGGAACAAGTACAGGATGTCAATCGGAGCCTCTACGCCACGGACCAGCGTGGGGGAGGCTCTGGACGGCCCGTTGTGAGAACATGATCCGGGAGCTGGTCTACAGCACCGACGGCGACCCAGTCCTCGTCGGGCCGTCCAAGACGGTTGTGAAGACGAGACGAGCGCGGGACGAGCCTGGCCTCTCGGCGTCTGAGTGGATGGCACGAGCTGGCGTGCGAGTCATCGAGGTCGTGGATGGTGGCGTGAGGTGGATGGAAGGCGATCCAGCGCCTCCGCTCCGGTTCCTGTTCGAGAGAGAACAGGGTCAAGTCGTGCCCGTGAGGCCAGGCCGGACTTGTGCGCGCAATCGAGGCTGCCGCCTAGTTGGCAGAGTTGTCCGCGGCGGTCTGTCGGACGACAACCTTGTCGAGGCTGCGCTTCGTCTTGCTCGAGACCGACTCGACGGCGGCGAGGAACATCTTGCCGGTGGCCGAGAGCGAGGAGCCAGAGTGGTTGGGCGTCAGCGCCGAGTTGGGACCATTGTAGGCGTCTGAGATGGCGTAGGCGGCGACGCGGTCGTCGGACTCGAACAGCTTGATGGCCTCGGAGACGAGCTTGTCGGTCTGGTCCTGCGAGCAGTAGACGGTGGGCGAGACCTGGTAGTTGATGCAGGCAAACTCGGTGATCCAGAGCGGCTTGTTGTACTGGGCGAAGTGGTCGAGGACGCCCCTGACGCCCTCGATCGAGTCCTGGAAGATGTGGACGTTGATGGCGTCGGGCTGGCGCTTGATCTGCTTGAGGAAGGGCGCGAGCCAGTTTTCGTCCTTCTGCTTGGCGCACGAGGGCGAGATCAGCACCGAGCCGGCCTCACCGTGGGGGACAATATACTGGTCCCAGGCCTTAGCGGCGTCGGTGGGTTCAATCAGGCCGGACGAGCCGGAACCGCTGAAATCTGCCTCGTTCATGCCGATGACATAGTCCATCGATCCCGGCGCGAGCTGCTTGAACTCCTCGAAGCGCTTCGAGTCGTCGTCGTGGCCGGTGCGCCCGAGACCCCAAAGCATCGAGACGGACTTGAGCCCATCAAGGTACTGGTTGTTCTTGGGCTTGGGAGTCCAGTCGGTCATCCAGCAGACGGCGCGGTTGGTCCATTTGAGAGACTGGCCGCCAGCGACACCAGCCTTGCAGCCGGGGATGACGCTCTTGCCGCTGCTGCTGGTCTGGCTAGAGTGGCTGCTGCTGCTGGTGCTGCTGCTGCTCGAGGTCGAATCGGATTGCGAATGGTTCTCGGAAGAAGAGCTGGCCTCCTCGTGAGACGTCGAGCCCTGCTTCGACTCGCCGCCGGTCGAGGAAGCCTTTCCAGACTGGGAGCCGCTGTCGTCGCCGCCCTGGGTCGGTGCATGGTTGCCCGAAGAGTTGCCGCCGTCGATGGGCTTGGTCGGCGGAGCAGTCGCGCTGTTGCCAGGCTGCTGCTTTGCGTGGTGTTGAGGCCTGTGGCCGTGGTGGCCCTTGTGGTGGTGGCGGCAGCTTGCCGACTTGGCCTCGACAGCCAGGGGCGAGGAGAGGGCGACGAGTGCCAGCACCAGCAGCGCGAGCAGGCTGAACTTCGAGGAGAGTGCGATGGCGGCCATGTTTGCAAGTGCGAAAAGACAGAGAGAGAGAGAGAGAGAGAGAGGAGGAGAGAGAGAGAGGAGGGAGGGAGGGAAAGGGAGGGACGGGCGGG